GAAAACCTGCGTGAAACGATCCGAGCGATCGTGCGGGAAGAGCTGCGCAAACTGTTTCCTTCGGCGCACCCTCAAGTGGATTCGATCGCCAAGATTGTGCGAGAAGAAGTTCGGCAATCACTTCGAATTCACCAAACACCGCTGCCCGAGCCAGAAACTATGAGCTACGCCACTGCAGTGCGCCACAACGCTCCTCCACGTCCACGTCAAAACGCCGCCCCGTCGCTCTTCCGTCGCCAGACGCCACCGCCGCCACCACCCCCACCGACGTCTTGCCGTTCCCCAGCGGGCCAGCGCAGTGCGCCGAGGAAAACGGACGTTTGGCGTGCACCTGACAACCGCCCGCTTTACTACCACTGCGGCGAGGCCGGGCACACATACCGCCGTTGCCAGTACCGACAGATGAGACTGCGTGGCTTCGCCGTCGATGCACCACGTCCGCAGCCAGGGGAACGGCTATGTGACATCGCCGACTACCTGACAGGAACTCAATGGACACCCCGAAGTCCTTCCCGTTCGCCGTCGCCCAGCCGCCGCATGTCACCGCACCCCCGGCAATACTCCGGCCCAACGCGGGGCCGGTCTCCTAGCCCGTATCCGGGAAACTAAGGGCAGCAACCGGTGGAGGTGCGGTTGCTGTGCGATGAACTACCGAAGATCCTCCGACGACGACGACGCCGCGACGGAGCTTTCCGAACACAATGCCAACCAGGCAAAGCCCTGACGGCGAAAGCTCACTTACCGGAGGTGGCCTGACGACGCAACATGGAAGCAGCGGAACAAGCCGACGCAGCCGTGACCCGACGCCACGCCCTAACTGTAATACGAGACGGCGAACTAGCGACATCGATGTTCTTATCGACGGCCACAGTGTGACCGCTCTTGTCGATACTGGAGCCGACTATTCTGTCATCAGTGGGTCGTTCGTCGCGAAGTTAAAGAAAGTTAGGACAGCTTGGAAAGGCCCTGAAATCCGCACAGCCGGAGGTCATCTCGTAACACCTGCAGGAATCTGCACAGCGAGAGTCACCATTAACGGCCATATTTATCCTACAGACTTCGTAGTCCTACAGCGTTGCTCGAGAGATGTCATCCTTGGCATGGACTTCTTATGCCTCCATGGTGCTGTCATCAACCTAAAAACAAAGTCGATAACGTTATCCACAGAAGAAGCACTACCACCGCGCACGCCGTCAGGACACCATCCCTTGAATGTGCTGGAAGAACAAGTCACCATTCCGCCTAGTTCAAGCATCATTATTTCAGTCGGCGCTCCTAAATCACCTGACTTGGAAGGCGTCATCGAAGGCAGTCAGCATCTGTTGGTCACCCGAAATATTTGCGTCGCAAGAGGAATTGCAGAGCTGCAAGGAGGCAAAGCAACGGTTATGCTCACGAATTTCAGCAATGAGTACAAACATGTGAACAAAGGAACAACGGTCGCATACATCGAAGAAATTGTCGAAGCCACCAGTGCTTTCGTCCTCGCCGATTCTGCGGAACCTGCTCAGAGGAACCAAGCCCCTCCCATAGCTTTCGACGTCAATCCCAGACTTCCGAACGATAAGCCAGAACAGCTCAAGGCCCTGCTCCTGCAATACGAAAATTGCTTTTCATCGTCATCAAAAAATCGGCAGACCAAAATCACGAAACATCGCATCATAACCGAAGAAAATGCCAGACCACTCCGTCAGAGTCCGTACAGGGTTTCGACGCGAGAACGTGAGGCCATGAAGAGACAAGTTGATGAAATGCTGCTGGATGACATTATCCAGCCGTCCAAGAGTCCATGGGCATCCCCCGTGGTGTTAGTGAAGAAAAAAGATGGGACCCTACGTTTCTGCGTCGATTATCGCCGCCTGAACAAAATCACAAGAAAGGACGTGTATCCTCTCCCACGAATAGACGACGCACTTGATCGGCTCCATAACGCCGAGTACTTTTCGTCGATGGACCTCAAGACTGGCTATTGGCAATTCGAAGTCGACGAAAGAGACCTAGAGAAGACGGCGTTTATAACACCGGACGGCCTCTTCGAGTTTAAGGTGATGCCCTTCGGCCTTAGCTCAGCGCCTGCAACTTTTCAACGCGTTATGGATACAGTACTGGCAGGATTGAAGTGGCAGACTTGCCTGGTGTACTTGGACGACGTCGTCGTGTTTTCCTCGAGTTTCGACGAGCATCTTCGGCTCCTTAAAGCTGTACTTCAAGCCATCAAGACGTCCGGACTCACACTGAAGCCAGAAAAGTGCAGATTTGCGTATGAGGAGCTCTTGTTTCTGGGACACGTTATCAGCAAGTCTGGAGTTCGTCCTAATCCACGGAAAACAGCTGCCATCGCCGACTTCCCGCCGCCCACTGACAAGAAGGCCGTGCGCCGATTTCTGGGCCTGTGCGCCTATTATAGGCGGTTCGTGAAAAACTTCGCCCGCATCGCTGATCCTCTCACTAACCTTACCAAGGCCGACGTGGAGTTCAAGTGGGAAACGCCACAGGAACACGCTTTCCAGGAGCTTAAACATCACCTCCAGACCCCTCCGTTACTTGCCCATTTCGACGAATTCGCCGAAACAGAAATACATACCGACGCAAACAGCGTAAGTCTTGGCGCCGTTCTTGTGCAGAGGGCTGACGGACTTGAAAAAGTTATTAGTTACGCCAGCCGATCGCTATCCAAAGCAGGAGCAAATTATTCCACAACAGAAAAGGAGTGTCTCGCCATCATCTGGGCTACGTCGAAATTTCGTTCCTACCTCTACGGCAACCCCTTCAAAGTTGTGAGCGACCACCACGCCTTGTGTTGGCTAGCCACCTTGAAGGACCCTTCAGGTCGCCTCGCACGATGGAGCCTGAGACTTCAAGAGTATGACATTACTGTCATTTACAAGTCCGGCAAAAAACACTCTCGACGCCGACTGTCTCTCTCATGCGCCTGTCGACCAACCGCTACCCGACGACCCGGATGACGAGTACTTCTTGGGAACGATAACTACCGACGACTTCGCTGAACGACAGCGGGCCGACCCGGAACTTAAGGCTCTAATAGAATACCTCGAAGGCAGGACCGCTGAAGTCCCGAAGGTATTCAAGCGCGCACTTGCGTCGTTCTTTCTACGAAACGGTCTTCTACAAAAGAAAAACTTTTCACCGCTTCGAGCTAAGTACCTCCTTGTGGTGCCTTCAGCTCTGCGACCAGAACTCCTGCAGGCCCTGCACGACGATCCGACGGCAGGGCACCTCGGTGTTTCTTGCACGCTCACGAGGATACAAGAAAAGTACTACTGGCCACGTCTTACCACCGATGTCACTCGTTATGTGAGGACATGCCGGGACTGTCAGCGACGCAAGACACCGCCGGCAAGGCCAGCGGGACTTCTGCAGCCAATTGATTCACCTTTCCGACCTTTCCAGAAGATTGGTATGGACCTACTGGGGCCGTTCCCGACGTCGGCTTTCAGAAACAAGTAGATCGTGGTAGCTACCGACTACCTCACCCGCTACGCCGAGACAAAAGCCCTGCCAAAAGGCAGTGCATCCGAGGTAGCTAAGTTCTTCCTCGAAAATATCGTCCTACGTCACGGCGCCCCGGAGGTCCTTATCACCGACAGAGGAACGACATTCACTGCCGACTTAACTTCAGCGATCTTGGCATACAGCCAAACAAACCACAGCCGGACGACAGCGTACCACCCACAGACCAACGGCCTCACCGAGCGGCTTAACAAGACGATCGCCGACATGCTGTCAATGTACGTCGATATCGAACACAAGACGTGGGACGCCATTCTTCCGTATGTGACCTTCGCATACAACACGGCGGTGCAGGAGACGACGCAGATATCTCCATACAAATTGGTCTGCGGAAGGAGCCCGGCAACGACGCTCGATGCCATGTTACCTAACGTCACCGACGAAGAAAACCTCAATGTGAGCGAGTACCTTCAACGCGCCGAAGAAGCCCGACAACTTGCGCGTCTCCGTATCAAGAATCAACAGACGACCGACAGCCACCGTTACAACCTTCGACGACGCTTCGTGGAATACCAGCCCGGTGAACGTGTTTGGGTGTGGACGCCGATACGCCGACGTGGACTAAGTGAAAAGCTTCTGCGACGGTACTTCGGACCGTACAGGATGGTTCGACGTCTTGGCCCACTTGATTACGAGGTTGTCCCCGACGGCATCACGAACTCTCAACGACGCCGATCGCGACCTGAAGTCGTACATGTCGCGCGCCTCAAGCCGTTTCATGCGCGTTAACAAACTGAAACAGTGTTTTTTTTGTATCATAATTTATTCATTGTACTTTCTTGCATGATTATTATACCTTCATCTTTAGTTAAAGCATCGGGACGATGCCTTTTTTTAGAGGGGGGCAATGCCACGTTCCATTTCCCAAGTTTTTGTTATCGTCCCAAAACACCACACGATTCTCAGCGCAAAACCGCTCCTGCAGTTTTCGAGAAGGTTCCGGACTGTAGTAGATCATTTCGATAAGATCGCGCCCACTGTGCGAACGGTACAGATTGTTCTGAAACCTACGCCACCGCCAGCGATAACGCTAGAACATTCGACAGCAAGAGTATAAATGCCGACGCGCTTCGCCGCTTGTCAGTTGTTGTTGATCGAAGGCCGACGCTCCGTTCGCCGCTATCAGTCCGAGACTGCTATCTGTGCAAGACTACTGCTGTAATTGGACTTTCCGTTTACCGGGCACAGGTTCGCCCAAATAAACAGTTAAATCCCAACACGAAGTCTCCTGTCTTCGGCCACGTCACGACCCCGTGACAATATTCATGCTCACCTTTTTTAATAAAAATGGTCCCACTGCATGTACGGCATTTAGCCGTTCTTTCAAAAAGCTTGTTTATCGCGGATAAGTTCACGATCCCGTAGGTAGCCGCCGACGGGTATGAGTCCTCGCGCGCTGTCGCGAGCGTTCGCAGCTTGCGCTCGCTCGCCGAAGTTGCCGAAAAGCTGCTGAGCTTATCAGCACAAACTTTCTGCTGTTGCGCACGATCGGCGCTCGTCAAAAAGGTTGTGTCTTTCCTTATGTGCTGCCTATCGCCAACGTCGTCCGAGGAGGCCGGGGAAACAGGCGGATATGTCGGCGTTTCATCCGACGGATTGCGTTCCGTATAGGTGCGCTGTACTTGGTGCGCGTCGGATATACCCGCGTCATTATCTTTTTTTGCCGTTGATTTCTTGCGCTTTTTTTCCAAACTTGTGAGCGCTGCGGAACTTGCTATATGGTTTCAGCATGATGAAAGGTTCAAGCCAGGTTCAAAACGTTGCCGAGAGCGTAGGCCTAACGCACTGGCCCGGTGGCTGCGGCGCGCTTCGTCGGGCTGGTTCGGCGGCGTGCCTGAATGTGCAGACTTGAGAAACGCTTGCTCCAATTTCTGGCTAGCTCGCACGAGTTCAAGAAGCCGACGAGAACAATAACATGTGATCGTTGCTTCACGTGCGCTCTACTGCCGCACGCAGCAGACATCTCTGGAAGCCTGGCGAATCGGAAGGCGGGATTTAGTTACGTGTGCTCACCGCACCAATAGGCTCACGCGACGGGGCCTTTTTTTTTTTTACACGGATTCACGGCGTGCATACCGAGTGGACGAAAACAAGCATGGTGGGATATGAAAGAAAAAGGGCTGCTCTTTCGGATGCGACCAAGACGGCTGCTGTAGCAAGCGTAGAACGGCAACACCGCGGCGCTAAAAAAGCCCGTTTTTTACGCATCCATCGCCAAAAATTCAGCTCACTAACGTTGCATAAACTACTCTCATGGCTAACTTACCAATCCAGGACGCGTGAAAATTGGCGAGATAACGCAGCGATAGTGGGAAAATTCAAATATAGCATTTTCAAAAAAACTTATTATTTAGCGATTTTCGTTCTCAAAGACCCGCTTTTCCCCTTAAGAAAGAAGGCCGCCGGTCTTCAGTCTGTTAATGATTAAATATGCCAAGCTACGGCGACGAAAAATAGGCGTGCAGCATGCTTGGTTTCGCGTGTTGGGGCGCCTGGTGCTTTTTTTTTCTTCTTTCAAGGACCAAAGTGGGGAGTGGGCTCATTATCTGAGTGGATTCATTACGCAAGTACATACTGTACATATACGCAGACACACTATATAAGTCCAAAACATTTCTGGCAACCCAATCACTCCGGTCTGTCGGTGTAGTCTTAAAAATAAATGGAACAGCACGGGAGCTTTCTCGTTGCATGCTAATTGCATCTAATTCATGTTTTTTGATGCTGCGAATACAGTTTAACCCCTTTATAAGAGGTACTGATATAAGAGACAAATGGCTGTAAGAGACACCAGTGTGCCTACAGTAAGATATGGCGTGATAGTAAAATGCATACTAAGTCCCCTGCTCATGCCAGAATCTCATATAAATGGCAATAATTGCTGCTCGGAGCATGCCTCTTATAAAGGTGTTTAACTGTAGTTTTTGAGAGAGTGCAATTCGTATCACTGAGGTTTTACTATAGTATTTGTAACGAAGAATATTTAATTTGTGCTTGGTTTTCCTCATTTGATTTGGCTTAGACCATGAAAACTTCATATTCACGCACCCCTAGTGACGAATAAACGAGTAAACAAGCTGCACACTCACCTCCAAGCAACCGGCAGCAGGAAGCCTCGTCCAGGAGGTCTTTGCTGCACTCGAAGTTTCGCCTTCGCTCGTTGTGAAGAGCCTCCAGCTTTTCTTTTGCAGCAAGACGTTTGGCTGCTTGGGTTTGCAGGAAGTGATCCAGACGCTCGGACTCCTAGAGACGTATAAGAAAAGAAAGCAGAGCGAAACAACATGTTAGGGCGTTTAATCGATCGATGAGCTGCTGTATATGCTACCTGTGGGTAAGAAAGCCGCGCATCTGTCAAACTGTATTCTCTGCTAGCAGCGTTGCAGCACGAAAAAGCTTATGCTTGGGGGTATTATTTTGTTACTCAGGCATTCTTGCGTAGTGCAATATTATCTGGGGAAAAATGAAAACGTAGCAAATTTCGTCACACTTTCTGCAGCTTGTACAGTTAAACCTGGATATATAGAAATCGACAAATTCCTGGAAATATTTGCTATACAGAGGATTTCGTTATATGCAGGTTCCGTACAAATATTCGAAAAGTAAATGCACAGACTAAACAAAAGGGAACTGAAGGCAGAACTCACCCAAAGCACTCAATTAGCCTTAAAGACTGCGTCATTATTGCAATTATATGGACACTAAGGAGATTTTTGCCGTAGCCCCGCCATGTTCCGTAACAAGTTCAAATTTATAACATGTCCCCGCACATCGTAACTTTTACGAGCGGGTAAAAGTGCGTGAGCACTGCTGAAGTAGATATGAAATGAGCTGGCCCATCTTTATCGCTTGGAAGGAGCATGAAAAGATGCGGGAGGGGAGGGGGGTACGTTGCTCGTGTAGCAACGGTGGACTTTGATTTTAAGGGCGGGATCGCTGGCGCGCGTGCTATTTTGGCAAACATCAGTGCGCCTTCAACGTGAAGAACGTGAAGAGACTGTGTGAAAAGAGGACTTCCCCCTGGAGCGGCCATATTTGCTTACACCATCGTTTCGTAGTTCTGCGATATTGGATTCAAAAGAGTTGGCTGCCAGCTTTAATTTGTATACCATTACGATTGTTGCTGTCGCATTCATGCATTGCATTCACGTGCCCTCGTGTTGCAGCCAGAGCTAATCGGCTAACCGCAAAGGATACGGTCCCGCGAACTAGCGGCGCACTGCAAAATAAAAGCACCTGACGAGTTAACCTCCGAAAATACTTCGTTGTCACAGTGGTCTCGGAGAGTTCCCATCAGCGCCTAATCTGTGACGCCACATTTGTAAGCACTTGGAAAAAAAAAAAGGCTGAACGTCGTCAGGAACCACTTCATGCGTGCGCAAGGAAACTATGCACGCACGTACGGCGTTGAAAACGAAGAGCGAACGACATGGACGCAAACACTGATACCGTGGAAAACTGTTCCGTAAAGCGCTTTCCATATGCAACGCAGCCCCACATATGTGACGCTAACTAAAAGCGCGGCACTGCCAGCGCATTATTTTTTTTCGTTTGTTTGCAGGGAGAGGAGGAAATACCTACACATGCAGCCGGCAGCACGAACGGCAGCGCCGGCTCATGGGGCGCAGGCCTGCCTGCCCGCCTCGCGCACACCCGTGCGCAATAACGTGCACTTGCTTTTCCCCGGAAGTCGCCGGGGCAACCGTGGGAGGTCAATGCTCGTGCCAAACGGACAAAATTCCTTGATTGTTCGTGGCGAAAAGTCAAGGTTGTCCCCAGCTATTGCTTTGTTACGTAGAGGTCCCAAATACTTGTGCTTCTTTGGAGCAACGAGGGGGAATATAAAATTTTTGAAATGTCAAAGAATTCGTTATATGCAGGTTCATTATAGGCAGGTTTAACTGTACAGCAGGAAAATGAGTAATATTATTGAGCCTCGAACACCTTACACAATCACCTTTGCTTAGCGCTCAAACCATATTTGGTATGAAAACAAGAAGAGATACTCTCAGAACAATTGTTTCGAAAAACAACTCTTACACAATATTCTGCAAAATTCGGAAGGCACCCACGTGACCAAAGCTTCTTTCTTTCCGAAATATCCTAGCAATTGTCAGTTTTCCAGCCCAAGAAATCAGCTACTAGTTTAAATTACATTTGAGGTGGTTACCAAAGTGGCTGGGATGTTTTGCATGAAATAACACAGCTATGACTCAGTTCCTAGTTGAAATGCTACAGTGAAGCTGCTACTACTATCTACATTCAACTCTCGTAAATTCAAACTCGTAGGGACTTCTGAGTATTGTTTGAATCATAAAGAAGTTTGAATTATTAGAAGTTCTCACATAGTGACGCTTGGTGAGGTGACACTACGCATTATGATTAGGCATTGGTTTTATCACATTTAAAAATTTTTGAAACCTAACTGCACGGAATGAACAAAAAGCAGAGATGTAAGGTTCGCAAGGTTATTGGGCATTTACTGCTGACTTATTGCTGATTTACTGCTGAATTGCCAACTGCTTCTTTGCTATAGGTATGTGCCTTCAGCACTAAGCTCTCTATACCAGCTGAGAAGCATCATGGTTTAACATGTGCGCTCTTCGTTTCAAAGATTCGTTTACCAGCAAAGCCTTTTTCCTTGAGGGATTGAGGTGCTTAATTTTCACTTTTTAGACTGTTAGGATTATATAAGCAGGCAAGTTTTTAAATAGTAGTGGGGAAGCAGCAGATATTTTCTGGTATGGAACTGCAAAAAGTATGAATTAACCGAATGGTGGTGTTTGAATTAAGAGGCTGAATTAGAGTTTGAATTAATTTAAATACATTGAAAGAACAGAGGGCCAACCAAAAAGTAATTTTGTTTGAATTACCCGCAAGTATGAAGTATAAGAGTTTGAATTGTCGCGAGTATTGTAGTTGGTCTCAAGACTGTTTGCAACGCAGCTCTGTCGATTTCTTGGAACATCGTGACCGATGCAATTACATGTGTTAACATCGTGCGATTTAGACATGTCACGATCACCCCGTGAAATGGTTGTCGTGATTATTCTAGCACCGCATGACATTGCGACGTAATGTTTGGCATGATGTGGTGCCACAACACTTGACGTGATCACACCATGAGGCAACATTTGCTGCGACGCCATCAACCGCACCAATACATCAGCACTTGATCCCACGCATTTTTACACCACTGATTGTTAATGACAAATTTTTCGCTTTGTGGTCCCCGACGTTTTAGATAGAGGGCCAAAGTTAAGAAATTTGCAGGCATAAAATGCAATCAGCCTGCATAGGACCGAGCGAGATTGAGATTACTGGGAGAGGTTTTCGTCCTGTAGGGGCCATGAGGTAAGCCGACAATAATAATGATTGCAGCTCGGGCAGTCTCAGTCAAAATGGTTATTCACTGTTTTCGCTAGACATCTGCTTTCACAGGGCATGGATTCCGGACAGTACACTGTTAGCACAAGGACACACTGACGAGAGGATGAACACGCTGCACTGGATTCCAGGTAACTTCTATTTAAGGGCGAAGCTACTCTTTTGATATAACCCTGTCCCGCGTCAGGCGTAACCTGGCAGTATCTCCTGAACACTAACAGATGGCTTTGCCTCATCACCATTTCTTGTCTCAGTTCCTAGACGGCGTTGGTGCAATAGAAGTGTGTATGCAATAGGACAGGACAGATGAATGTACAGACAGAAGCATGGACGGAAGGAAGGACAGACTGACAGACGTGCAGAAGCACGTACACATGGACACTTCACCCCTCCTCATCATCATTTTCTCCGTGAAATATGCTACGACTTTTTTTCATCTACTTGGATGACCAGTTATGGGTGCAACCTTTACATGGGCGTACGTTTAATACGAGTCTCTACAGTAATTGCCCCGACGGTGGCAGTGCAAGGACACGCGCAAAGGCTGCACGTGTCGAAATCAACGTCCCGCATATAGGCTTTCGCGGCGAACCATCATTACTTGGTCAAAGCACACGCTCACCTTCAGGGTGTCTTCATTGCAGCCCTGGAGCACCTTGACAGTCTTCGCCATCTGCTGCTTCCAGTTCTCCTTCACCTACAAAGAACGCTTCAAATTTTTGAAACATGCCCCCCAAGTTGATATCTACACACTGACGTGGCCAAGTGGATCCAATTAAAAAACCAGAAGCCCCTTCTTGACACTGAAAACCGGGCCAGCAAAGCTAGCTTGGTGTGTGCATGGTAGACGTTCTACTTAAACGCCAACGACCAGCGTTTTCCTTCTACGTCAGACATTGGACCTCTATTCACTGGCTCATACTCGCGGACAACATTTTCTTGGCAATGAAGGGAACGTTACAGAGCCAAAGAGGGCGTGTGCCGCCACTGTAGCACACAGTTCGCGGCTTGCGGCAGAGCTTTTCATCTAAAAGTAACGCACACGCACGCATACACACACACACAAACAAAACATTATATTCTACAGTATTCTGCTTATAAAAAGATGCAGCATGCATTAGAGAGATATTCAATTTTTTTTTTCTTCATGCAGTGTCATTTCCAGTTTTTGGACGAGTTAAAATGTGCCATGTTTTACGTGCACTGCATAGTCAAAACGGCATCTTCATCTTTATTTGAGAGCTCGTCGCGCTCCGGTATTTCAGACGACTTGGCGAAGGGGCTTGCGTTGCATTCCACTCACAATAAAGCAAATGCTATGCAGTGTTATTATTCGAGCACAGACGTCGCTTGAAACACGAGCCAAGCTGGACTACTTCTCGGAGGAGTGCACGTGCAGCAGACTCGCCCCCGTAGCTTTTCCCTTCGTTGCCGAGAAAAGTTGTCCGCAAGCATAGCACCGCATAGCAACGGCCAACAAGAACGACCACACATGCTACAGTAAAGTGCTAAAACGAAACAGACGTCAACGTGAAATGACATGTGACCGCCATTTAAGATCCCATTGCCGCATTGGGAATCGCAGATTGAAAGTCCTCCCCTTGAAAGCAGCCCTAAAGAGCTTCGGTTGAAACGCACACAGGCGTTTACAGAAAATGAGCTCTACTGAATTTTGCAGCAAAAGCAATGCTGGTTTGAGTTAAAAAAAAAAGAGTTAGCTTATCCAAAATCTGGAACGTTGCTCTTCCTGTCCATTACACACTGCCACAAACACACACTCACCACGCTGGTGCGAATGATGGTCTCGTTTTCCCAGATCTGCCTAATGAGCTTGGCCCGGACACCATAGATCTTTCTCGCCGCGTCGAGGAAGTAGGCCGCCCTGCTGTCGTCGCTGGGTCCGTTCGCCTCGACGCTCAAAGACAGGACCGGCGTAGTCGATAGGGCGTCGTTACCTGAAGCTGTGACGATGCTGCCGGTGTCTGTTTGTTGCACTCGCGGCTGGGCATTTTGCTGGGCCATCGCGAGGTTCTGTTTGAGCTCGACCACCTCGGCTTTGAGCTCTACCACCTCAGCTTTGAGCTCGGACTTCTCGTTTTCAACCTTGTCGAGCGTGCGCTGGAGGCCTTCCACCTGGGAGGTAAAAGATTTGGCGGTTGCATTCTGCTCAAATCTATCTTATTTCAACACCATACACCCACTCAAACCACCATACAACAAACATGCATTTAACGAATTATCAATTGTATTGAAGAATAGTCTTGACAGAGATAGACTCAATCATTGATATAACGAACCCAGATACAACGGAATACCGGCTATAATGAAGTAAATAAAGAATACCTTCATAAGGAGTTTTTGAATATAACAAACTTATTTTTATGTATGATGCAACTTTATTACAATGAGACGAGTGCATACATCGAACATATATTGAAGGGGATTCCCGCAATATTTAATATGTGCCATAACTTGTTATGTGTAGGTTCGGCTGCACACATTTACAACAAATTTTCACATATTTTGTATCAGATGAGATTTTGTTCTACTGAGGCTCGAGTACAAATTTGCTCAGGGGTGAGAGGGTGAAACATTAATAGAATTCCAGCTCACCAGATGAGTTATAAATGGCTTTTCAGAACTCTGGTCACATTGCATGCCAGATATACACCTGGCCCTAGCTGGTGGAGGTTATTGCCCTTTCAGTCTGCTTAGCACGACAAAGCCTATTGTACTTTGGCAACAACTGTGCGAGATGCACGGTATCGACCGAGACTGAAACGCTCAGTTTTCTAGAGCACTCAAGACTACTTGCACGTGTATAGTTCGAGCCCACTATCAGCATTGAGTGTTCATGAAAAAAAAAAGTTTCATAATTCAACGTTTAGCTTGCCCGAGATTAAAGATGTGGTCACTGACCAAGTTAAGGCGAAAATAGATGTTTCGGAAGCTATACCACCTTTATGACATTGTGTATTTGCATGATCGAAAAACCTGTATGGGCCCCAAAACATCTTGGTGTTTCACCTTAACTTGGTCAGCGACAGCATCTTCATTCTCACTGTGATACCTGATCAGGCTAACTTTCATCGAACTTTTGATTACATGTGTCTTGTCTACGCAGTTGCGCAGTGCAGTGAAACCGATAATAATTCGTTATGAACATATACTAGTTGGAGCACTGTGTATGTATATGACAAAGCATTCTTCACTTACTTTTTTATAACCAATAATTGATTATATTGAGGTCCAAGTGTACTGATAAGAGGTTAAACATTCGTAGCGATTATGGCAGCTTTGATACTGCTCGGCTACCATATTGAAAAGCGCTCAGACTTTAGACATGCTGGTTGACGACATGGTTGTACATAATTTTCGTGAAGAATATTGCCACCTGGTGTTCTGTGCCAGTGAACAGTGGGTCAGCTCTGTGCCGGTGAACGAGAAAGACGAAGACAAGCAACCCATGCCAGCGGAGACGTCCTCCTTTGTCTCTGAGATTTTGGACAGTTGCGTCCCTTTGTACGTTTGTTCGAGCTCTTAGCGCGTGACAACTGGTGGAGGTGCTGGGTACCCTATGCACCGAACCCCTCCCAGTACAAGAAGCTCCAGCCCCATACCGGTGGTTACGCCTGTTCACCGTGCTAGCCGCAGGATCCGTGGACTGGACCCTGAGTTCAGACTTCTCTCAGAAGAGATGACGGCCCCAACTATTCCAGGCAGGGTGTCTACCAATTACATTTTTCCAAATTCCCTGACTTTTCCAGGTTTTCCATGACCATTTCAAGCAAATTCCATGACTGGTACGTCTGCTTGGAAGAAACTGCGCACTAGAAAACAAACTCCTGAGCGGTAAAAAGAAATTATGAGGCGCTCATATAAAATGGAAACCATGCTGCTTTATTGCATTCCCTTGTCTGAAAGCATTTTTTACAATAAATAAAATATTCAAAGACACAATAATTGTCCCTCGACAAACAGAAAAGCTTGTTTACTTGCATCGGCAATGCCTTCACTGTTTCAAGGATTCAATCTCTTGCTGCAGCATGGAGACCTGAAGCTGTGTGTCTTCCATCAGTTTTTGCTTCTTTGATTCAAGCTCTTTCACAAGAGCCGCAGTCCTCTTCTTTTTCCTTTCAGCATCCAATACGTCCAACCGTTCCTTCTTTTTCCTCTCCAGGTCTTCCTTCCATTTGATGTTGGAACTTCGAACCATGTCTATCATCTTGTCTGTTACGTCAACTTATGCAACACCACCTGCTGCAGACACCTCATCGTACACTAACCTTTGTGCTACAAGTGACTCCTCCTTCATATTTTCCACAAGACATTCCTTGTTCACTGAAAATCCCCGCTCCACCGAAGAATTTCCATGTGAAAGGCACAGCACAATCTTCACAAACAGCAGTAGCTCTTCATGAGAACTTGCACAGAGTTCCACCCACAGCTTCTCCAAGCGCTCTCTTGCACGATCAAATTTTCGCAAACGCACTTGTGCAGTGCTGTTCGAGCACACTTGTACATATGATCTACTTGCTCTCTCTCCTTGTAGGCCTGTAAGGCGCCCATGCTCTATAAGTACTTCAAGTGCAATGTTTAGCTGCTTCTGGCCAGCTTACACAGAAGCGGCACAAACTGCTGGGTTTAAGCAACTGGCCCCCCTTGTCAGCTTGTATTTCAGAGGTGATCTCTCGATTATCTTTGCTGAACAGGCCTTAATAAATAAGATGCATTCTTTTTTGACACTTACCACCGCAGTGTGAGATGGTTTAGTGATCTTTCGCAACTCACTTTTGGCGGCAAGGCCTATGTCAAAGGCAGCTATACCAATGATGTTGTTTGGGTTCTCCAGATCAATTTTTATCAGTTTTCAAAATGTGCCTGCAGCATCCAACTTTTCCTTTAGCACGATTCGTCCCAGCAGTGACCGCAACAGGCCGTCCAGTGCTGTTGCAAGAAAAGGTAGCATCGGCTTTTCTGTCTGAAACTCAGCCAGAAATGGCTCCAATTCTTCTGAAACTGAAAGCATAAAGGCCAGCTTTACTGGCAGCATCTCGTCTTTCACAGCCGTCTCGACATGAGCATAGCTGCCACACGCTGGAAGTTTCTTTTCTTTCTTGACATGCTCAACATATTTGACTACATTTGGGAGGACTTGCAGTGCCCTAGCAAGAGCCTTGCCATTTTCCAGCCAGCGCACTGAGCAAAACTTTAGCGGAAACAGTATGCTCCCTGTGAAATTGACATAGTCGGCTCAGGCGTGCAGGGACGTTTTTGAACAAATTGTACAAGCTTCTAAGAAACACTACTGTGTTCCACTTTGTCACATTGTGGCCTGTTTTAAATGCACCACTCACAACGTGCAGTCCGCAGCTTCCAATGTCCACAATATTCTGATTTCCATCAGACGCAGAAAACTCTTGCTTCAACGACTTCAACAACTTCAAATTGAATGTTGGACCATCCATCGAAAGTTGAAGTATTTTTGCCGGCTCAATGTTCTCAGTGGCCTTTTTGAAAGCGGCAGCTAAATCTTCTGCGCGAGTGTGTCCTAAAAAACAGGACGTCAGGTAGCGGGTTTTGACAACGTCGTCAGCTGGGTCCCAAAACCTGATCAAAACGTCCATTTGCTCTTTCTGAGCAATTTTGTTCAGGGACTCGTCAAAAGCCACGACCACGTGTGGGACACTATGCAGCTTTGATAGCAGCCTGTTTCGGAAGTACGGGGCTATACCGTAACAAATTGTATAGCCAACTTTGTCCTTACCAAGTTGCAACTTCTTCGCGACGTCACACGTGGGGAATATGATGGGAAAAAGCGCCGTTGACGCTGCTGCTGAACGAAACGATCTATGGGTCGCTATAGTGTTCAGACACCAAACAACTTCTGCTTTCGTGACACATTTTTTGACCAGAAACCCATTTAAGGATGCCTTCCCGTCAGGCGCGACGACCACCGGTTTAGCAGGCACGCTTTCAGCACTCGTGCTTGGCACAGTCGATACACATTCACTCGTAGTCGTAGCAGTCATGGAACACGGCAAGTTGGGTCCAGCACCGAAAAACGCGCGGATGTTTGTCTGGGAAGAACTTTGCACAATGCTCACAGCAGTTAGGTGTTTCTTGCTCACAGCGTGACTGGAGACAGCAGCGATGCCCATATTGCTAAGCGAGAAAGTCTTCTGGCATGCTGCACAGTGAGCCTTACTTGTATCGTTCGGCACTGCTCTAATCCATGAGGCGTGCTCGGATATTTCCGCGTTCACCCAATCAGGGTTAAACGAACACTTCTTCGCAAGAGGCATAGCAACTCACTGCATGCTCACGGCATCACAAGAAGAATGGCAATATGGCTGCAGCCCAGGCATCTTGATATGTGGATTGGATTGGATCCGATCTGGATTACCATATTTGCTCTACTACTGTTTTTGTATCCCAGTCCAATTTACGCACCTGTAAACTACACATTTCAGTAAAAAAATAATTACGACTCGCATATTCTGTGCACCTTGCCCTCTGCTGATGGCACTTCCAGCCTAACCAGAAAACCCTCAAGCCGAGCCGAGATCGCGGCCAAGACAAACATGCACAATTTTATGCGCGTGAGTAACGTTGTACTCGGAAAGTAGAAGCGCCAGCTATGCACTGCTTTTTTTTAACTATGCTTCTGCTTAGCTGTTCTGTGTGGTTTAAGGAGCGATTTTTAAAGCTTTGATTAATGCTAATGAATATTTTCGTGACGATCTGAAAGACTACAGTCAGTTTCCATGACCTGGCCGGATTTTTCAGAAATTCCCTGACTTTTCCCTGACTTTTCCAGGTTTTCCAGGTTTTCCAGGTTGGTAGACACCCTGCCAGGCAGCGCCGTCCCAAGCGGCTCCAACACAGCCGGTATGGAAGGCGCAACGCCACTGCAATATACACTGTTCAAACCACGAACGCCGAATCCCTTTCATGGTGCTGTCCATGAGGATGTTGAAGATTGGCTAGTCCACTATGACTTCGTTGCCGCTCATAACATGTGGGATGACACAGACAAGCTCCGACATGTCTACTTCAGTTTGAATGACGGGGCACGTGTTTGGTACGAAAACCGGGCAGGTGTGTTCACGTCATGGGTGGACTTCAAACGC